TTCAGGGTTTTTTTTTTTTTTTTTTTGAGACTAAGTCTCACTCTGTTGCCCAGGCTGGAGTGCAATGGTGCAATCTCGGCTCATTGCAAGCTCCGTTTCCAGGGTTCACGCCATTCTCCTGCCTCAGCCTTCCGAGTAGCTGGAATTACAGGTGCCCGCCACCACACCTGGCTAATTTTTGTATTTTTAGTAGAGATGGGGGTTTCAGCTTGTTAGCCAGGATGGTCTCGATCTCCTGACCTCATGATCCACCTGCCTCGGCCTCCCAAAGTGTTGGGATTACAGGCATGAGCCACCGTGCCCAGCCGAGTTCAGGCTTTTAACTTCCATGTTTTACATTTTTCTCTAAATTCCATCAAATACTTTTATAATTTAAAAATTACTTATTAATTTTGTGAAATATTTTATCCTTTGAGGTAAAAGTAAAAAGTTTAAAAATTACCCTGAAATGATGGGAAATCAACAAAATGCAAATATAACTCAAAGCACAATATTTATCACAATTCATAAATTATTCCTTAAACCCCATGAGCTTAACAAATTAGTAATTCATGAATATATAAAAGCATTATTATAAATAATTGAAAATATCTGTCTGGAAGTCACTTATCTAAAAAAAGCTCTGCTATCTAGATTAGGCATCAGTACACTTTTTTTTTAATGGGCTAAATATGAAGTGTTTTAGGCTTGTGGCCATCTGGTCTCTGTTACAGCTACTCAATTCTATTTTTTTTTTTGAGACATGGTTTTACTCTGTCACCCAAGCTGGAGTGCAGTGGTGCCATCATAGTTCACTGCAGCTTTGAACTCCTGGGCTCCAGTGATCCTCCTTCCTCAGCCGTCTGAGTAGCTACAACTACAGACAGGCATGCCCCACAATGCCCAGCTAATTTCTGTATTTTTTTTGTAGAGACAGGATCTCGCCATGTTGCCCAGGCTAATCTTGAACTCCTGGCCTCAAGTGATCCTCCTGCCTTGGCCTCCCAAAGTGCTGGGATTACAGTTGTGAGCCAATGCGCCCAGCCATAGCTACTTAATTCTGGTGAAACGGGCTTAGGACAACATGTCAGGGAATGGGTGTGCCTATATTCCAAAGAAATTTGATAAAAACAGGCGTCAAGCTTGATCCCAGATCTAGACTAAAAGTCAGGAAAAAACAGGTCTAGGAACTGCCAAACACTAACATCTACAGTCCATATACTCATGCACTTAGAGTATCTCACATTATACACAATTCCAAAAATACCGTTGGAAAAAGATTAAATGTAGTAAATTAAAGGAGTCAAGGTCAGAAAGCAGTTATTATTTTTAACTAGAAGTGAAGAGCTTCACATTTACAGATTAAATTTAAATCCTAAAAGCGTGACTTGACCTTTGAGTCATACAGATAATGGATCACAGAACTATAATTCCCAGCTCCCAATGCCTATTCCCCACTTGCTCTGGCTGCCTCCTAAGGAGGTAGGTACTTTACAAGCATATGATAGCTAGTCCAAGAGGGGATACTCCTAACAAAAGGCAGAGGCTGTGAAAGCTGGGAATGTGAGGGCAACTTATCACAGGATCAAAACAACCCTAAACCTGTCTGGGGCTCCCGTACAACTTGTTATTGAAGTGGTGTTCTGTATGACATGAAAAAGTAGGGCCAGGCAGGGTGGTTCATGCCTGTAATCCCAGCACTTTGGGAGGCCGAGGCAGGAGGATCCCTTGAGGCCAAGAATTGGAGACCAGCCTGGGAGACACAGCAAGACTTCCATCTCTACAAAGATAAAAAACAAAAATAACCAGGCATGGTGGCACATGTCTGTAGTCCTAGCTACTCGGGAGGATTACTGGAGCTCAGGAGGACAGTGAGCCATAATCACATCACTGCACTCCAGCCTGGGTGACAGAGCAAGACCCTGTCTCCAAAAAGAAAGAAAGAAAAAACGTAGTAGGAAAATGTGTAAATCACTTTCAAAGGATTTTTTTAAAAGAGATGGGGTCTTACTTTGTTGCCCAGGCTAGGGTGCAGTGGTGCAATTAGAGTTCACTGTAACCTCTGGCGTGTAGCTAAGACTGACTACAAGCACACATACCAAGGCGGACTAATTGCTTTTGTTTTTTGTAGAGACAGGGTCTCATAATGTTGCCCAGGCTGGTTTCGAACTCTCCACCTAAAGTGATCCTCCTGCCACAGCTCCCAAGTAGCTGGGATTATAGGAGCAAACCACTACACTGGCTAAAATGATTTAAATAACAACAACAACTCTCTAAAATGGGACTGCATTTCAAAAGCTTACTTTCTAGAAAAATCCCTTTGCTAAACAAAAATAGTGAAATCTTTGCTGGTAACTTAATAGTATTTCTGTAATTGTATTGTTTAGTAATAAATTAGTTTGTAATTTCCAGGGCAGCCGAGAATAATAATACTGGGTTTCAGAAATAAACTTTCAGAATTTAAAGTATTACAAAAGATTCCAAATAAATAATAACAGACATGAATTAAAAAGTGAATTTGAGTTTTATTTTTTCCCTTTTTCCATCTCCTAGTTATTGGAAGCATTAGTAAGCAGAATATTCCAAAAAGACATGGGAAAAAAAAAATGGTAAAATTCATCCATAACTAGGCAATTCCTTCCTGGACTGCAAATTGGCATGGCATTTTAGTCATAAAAACTCATAAACAAGAGGTCAAAAAACTCCTCCCAAACCCAAACCCTCTAATCCTATAGAGTGATTCAGGAGGCTAGAAAGCACCTGGGCTTGGGAGTCCTGCCTCTCCTGTAGTGTCCTTTTGGTTCCAGGACTAGGTTTCCAACTATGGGTCTCACACCCTACTAGGCCTTTCCTTTCATCTTCCCTTCAGTTCTGTAAAAGCTTTAGCTCCATGTTAAAGACGAGGTTCAGAGAAGAGGTTAGTTTATGCAAAGCCACACAGCTGTCTGAGGTAGGAAGTCAGCTTGGTCTCTCTGGCCTGAAAGAGAGACCACTCTCTGCTTTTCCCACTCCTCGAGGTTTGCTGTATTACACATCCCCATCTTTCTCTGATTATAAAGAATTCCATTTAAATACTCACGGTTCTAAACTTTTAATGGATTTTGAATCCACTGAGTTTTCAGTGTTCTCCATGGATACCTTTATTAACTAGAATACAAAGAAAATAGAAGTTAATAAAAAATCAGTCATAAAACCACTGCATTATATTAATTATCCCAGTGATTATTTTTCCAAATTAATGCCTCAGTTCCACCTCTACTGTTAAAGGTGTATGTGAGTCAGTTCTGGGGATAATGATTTCTTAGCAATGGTACATACAATTTAGCCTCTCTCTCTTTTCAACTGAGCTATGAATTATATATAGTGAATTACATAAAGCATATAGATTTTTTATATTTACATGCCCTCATCAGATTAAGATATAGATTACAGTTTATTTCTTTTATAAGACAACACAGTGGGTCATTTCTAAGAACTGCAACTCAACACAGTTAAAACAAAAATCAAACACTTCCCACCACAATGGTATAACTCACATAACACAATTCTACAATGCTTAGATTCCCAAGATAAAGTATCAAGATGTTTCAAATCTCCACTAATTTTTTTCTTTTCTTTTGAGGCAGGATCTCACTCTGTCACCCAGGCTGGAGGGCAGCAGCGCAATCACGGCCCACTGCAGCTTCGACCTCCTGGATTCAAATCCTCCCGCCTCCGCCTCCCGAGTAGCTGGGACTACAGGCGTGCACCACCGTGTCTGGCTAATTTTTGTATTTTTTGTAGGCATAGGGTCTTGTTGCATTGCCCAGGCTGGTCTCCAACTCCTGGGATCAAGCGATCTGCCCACCTAGGTCTCCTAAAGTGCTGGGATTACAGGCAAGGGCCACCGGACCTGGCCTAGTCTTTATTTTTAAACTGGGTTTTGGAAACCCAGCGTCTCATTTAGGGTAGTAAAATGGCCCACAAAACGTAAAAGTAAAAACTACAGTTTCTGCTTTCATTCTTCCATCACACAATTGTATCTCACAAGGTGAACCTGTTCTAATAAGCAAAGCAACGATCACTTATTGAGCACTTAATATATACCAGATGCTCTGCAAGGCACTCATTTTTAATCTTTTCAAAATTCTAAAAGTCAGAAAACCCAACTTCTGGCGGTTAAGTGACTTTGCCAACAGTCACAAGCTAAGTGACAGGGTCCTCTTCCCACTCTGCTATGCTGCCTCTGAAGAAGCCAGCTCCTTACTACTTTTCTGTGGTTCTACCAGGCATTCTCTGGCTTTTCAGAAGCAAAGGTACTTCCCAAGGCAATCCACCTCCCTAAATAGAGGAAAACAAGACCAAAGGCAAAACAAAAAACAAGAACAAAAAATATTGAATGACCTTCTCCAGGCTCTAGAAACCCTGACAATGTCAAAAATTCCAGTCAAAATACAACTTTAACCTCACTCCTACGATACAATCAGAAATACCAAAATAATACACAATCCTATAACAGGAATTGCTAACCCACAAAAATCCTTCTAGAAAGTCCTAGGTAACTTCCCCACTTTTAAAATTTTAATCTTTAAAACTGTGGTAAAATAGACACAAAATTTACCATTTTTAAGTGTACAGTTCAGTGGCACTGAGTACAGTTACACTGTTGGAATCCATCCCAGAACTTTATCTTTCCAAACTGAAACTCATTACCAAGGTCCCCAATTTCAAGGTCTCTTGGAAAACATAATTTCTTCCCTTCTATTAAGACAAAGCTAAGCTCCTTCCTCCCCTCTCTCCCAGTTTTGTGTGCACCCCTAGTGGGGAAAGGTGCATTAACAATATAGAGGGGAGCCAGCGCCACCATCTCAATTTAAACAGAGGAGACGGTGATGTTTGACCTTCTCCAAGAGCCAGTCTATGCTCTGCATTGCTACGAAGACTTTGCCTTTCTACCGTCTTACCTCCTGTAGGCTTTCTGGAAAACCAAGGGAAGATGTGAGTATAATTGGGATAAATCATCTTTTAGTTTGTCAGTAAACAAATACTTTATGCCAGCTATCATCCTGGGAAATAGGAAGAGTGGAAGACAAGACAAAGTTCCTATCTTCCATAAGTTCTTACTTTAGATAGAAGAATAATTATACAGTAGTATACCTGCGGGGCAGGGGCGGGGGGTACCTCCCAAGTCCCTCAGTAGATGCTTGAAACCAAATACAGTACTGAACCCTATATGCAGCATGTTTTTTCCTATACATACAGACCTATGAAAAAGTTTAGTTTATAAATTGGGCGACGAAAGGGATTAACAACAAAAACTAGTAAGGGTTACGTGAACTACCATACCACGACAGTTGATCTGATAACCAAGACAGCTACTATGTGACCTGCCATTCGTCACTCAGTACATACTATATATTAACATATTTATTAATAGTGGCTGTCTGGGTGATGGCATTACTGACAACTACTTACTCCTAACATTCCTTTATATCTTCTATTTTTTTCCATAACATCTGTATTTTTAAAGTGAGAAAATAGCAACAAATATTATTCTATAAAATAATATCGACAAAGGTCAGGATTGTTCTAGCCAATTTCAACTCTTGGCCCTGTTTCAAGAGTGACAAAAATAAGGGTATTCTCCTATCAAAGTACCCACCCTTCCTTGCCTCTATCATGCTCAGTACCATGTTCCCGTCTATCTGCCTTTTTTTCTTTAATATGTACAATAAACATGTATTAGGTAGCAGGAAATCTCAAACTTCCTTGAACCATAAATATGATAGAGCCCAACTTGCCCCCATGCACATCAATTCAAAGCGGACAGACCACAGACAAAATCATTAGCCATCTGCGGTTGAGAAACAAATTGTGGTTGACTTGATTAACTGAGAGAACAGTACAGGGAAGCTAACAAGTCTGGAAACACAGGTGAACACATAATAGTTTACTGATATTGCATTATAATCCATGAGAAAATATGTTTGCTTCAAGACTTTATGGCCAATCTATAGAAAAATCTAAAGTGAAAATCCAGTGGGCCTCATCAAAGATACACAGATTGCACATAATGGGCAATGCGAATTAAAGCAACACTGAGATATCACCACACACCTAGCAGAATGGTCAAAATCCAGAACACCACGAACACCAAATGCTGGCGAGGATGTGGAGCAACAGGGATGCTCAGTCAGTGCTCGTGGAAATGCAAAATGGTACAGCCAACTTGGAAGACAGTTTGGCAGTTTCCTACAAAACTAAACGTACTCTTACCATATGATCTAGCCATATGGTAAATATGCACTCTTTGGTTTTTACCCAAAGGAGCTGAAAACTTATGTTCACACAAGCCTGCACACAGATGTTTATAGCAGTTTTATTCATAACTGTCAAAACTAGAAGCAACTAAAATGTCCTTCAGTAGGTGAATGAATAAATAAACTATGGTATATCCAGAGAACAGAATATTATTCAGCGCTAAAAAGAAATGAGCTAGCAAACCACGAAGACAAGTAGGATACTTTAAATGCATTATTACTAAGAAGCCAGTTGGAAAAGTCCATGTATACTGCATGAGTCCAACTATCTGACAACCTGGAAAAGGCAAAACTATGGAGACAGTAAAAAGATCAGTGGTTGTCAGTGGCTAGGAGGGAGGGAGACAGCACAGATAATTTTTGGGGTTTTTTTGAGATTGAATTTTGCTCTTGTTGCCCAGGCTGGAGTGCAGTGGCACGGTCTTGGCTCACTGCAACCTCCACCTTCAGGTTTCAAGTGATTCTCCTGCCTCAGTCGCCCGAGTAACTGGGATTACAGTCGTATGCCACCATGCCTGGCTAATTTTTGTATTTTTAGTAGAGATGGGTTTCACCATGTTGGCCAGGCTGGTCTCGAACTCCTGACCTCGTGATCCGCCCGCCTCAGCCTCCCAAAGTGCTGGGATTACAGGCGTGAGCCACTGTGCCCCGCTAGCACAGAGAATTTTTAAGGCAGTGAAACTACTCTGTGTGACACTATAATGGTGGATACAAGTCCTTGTAAAATTGTACAAACACATAGGACAAATACCACCAAGAGTGAACCTGATTGTGAACAATGGAGTGTGGGTGATGATGACGTGTCAGTGTGTGTCAGTGTACACACGGGTGCAGGATGTGATAATGGGGGAGACTATGCGTGTGGGCGGGGGGTGAGCAGGAGGGATATGTACACTCGGGTGCAGGATGTGGATAATGGGGGAGACCATGCATGTGGGCGGGGGGTGGGCAGGAGGGATATAGGATATCTCTGTATGTTCTTCTCAGTTTTGGTTTGAACCTAAAACTGCTCTAAAAAATGAAGTCTAATTTAAAAACTGGGAAATAAGACTTAATAACTTCTGAAGCTGAGCTTGGAGCTCCTGGCAGTATCCTTTCTAGCCCCCAGGCTGCCTCAGATTGGCTCTCTGAATGCATTTGCCAAATGCAGGGCTCACAGTCTGTGCTCAGGAACCCCCGAATGTTGACCAGCTTCCACAGACAACCAAGGCTCTGAAGATCTCTTTTCAACACTTCTGCAAACAGTCTAGTAACTCTCACACCGAAATACTGACTTCCAATAAACTTGTGTCTTTTGCCAGCAATAAAACTGTGGGATAAAATTATTCTCTCCTTGTGACTGGTAGTGGAAACTTTAAATAGTGACCAACTTTTCAGAGTACTTATAATATTTGCTTCTTGGCTCAGACCAATCTACGATCTCCTCTAAATATTAGGTGACTTAACTTCAAAGTCATTTTCTTTCTATACATCAAGTTAATAAAGTTAAAAAAGTCAGAGAGACCAATCAATACAAATAACTATAAATTAATCATTTCTGATATTAGACACAACAGATAATTTTGTTTTAGTAAGAGAGCTGGTTGTTGAAAGAAAAAACGAATTCTTCTACAACAGAATTTAAAATGTTGTCTATTTGATAAAGATTTCTCAGGGACAAATACTACAGTGCACTTCATCAACTTCATCATTAGTATCTGAACAACCTACATTGCCTCAGTGATCAGTTTATTTTGATACACTTCTAAAAATTTATATGATGGTAAATGAAATCCTTACAGCATCAGACATGCACACATTTGCTCTCTACATGTCATCATCTGCTTTTTCCACATGAAAGCACCAAATCCACACTCCTGGGAGCAGAGCTTTGGTTCCCACAAGACTCACTAAAGTGCTGCTTAGCATGACATCACCTCCATTAGCTAGTGCCCAGCGGAGTACAAATTATTCTGAGGAAGGTGATCTCATCTCAGAAGGATAAAAAAATCATATCATATGGGAAATATTCACTGCCTTAAATGAAAACAGAATTTAGGTTTTCAGAACATTCTTATTTGACAAAACATAAACAGGAAAAATAATTGGGATTTAAAAAGTTTATCCTGGCATAGCAATGGACTTAACATGAATTGTTTCTTACTGGGCTGATGTAATTCTTTTCATCAATTCAGGATGCTGCTGCTAAGAAAGGAAATTTCTGAACGCATACGTTTATGGCAAAGTTCTCAGTAGACCAACTGATATTACTTAGAAATCTGGAACTCAGGTCTCAGAATCACTTGTCTAGTTCCTGGATCCCTTAACACTTGCCACCAACGCTGTAACAGTCAGGTCTTCAAACACTAAAAAATACTGTCAGTATAAATTTATTTCACTCTAAAATAGATATTTAGACATTTCAAGCTGTGTTTTCCTACACAAGTAAAAAACTGGAATGTTCTCCCTATTTACATGGTGGCGAGCCAACTACTCATTACAACAATGAAGTAAAGCAGAATGCAACATCTACAGCATTAAGGCAAAGAAATAAAAATTAATTTCTAAAGTGAAATTTCTATATTAAGCTAAAAGTATTAACAATTTGAAACAACCTGTTATTGAAGAGTGAATGTGTGAAAGTGTGCCTGTGGTGGGGAATTCAAAAGGAGATGTTAAATTAGGATTGCCAGTCTCTAAAACTGGCAATCCTAATTTAAATTTTAAATCTCTAGAATTCTTAATCAGCTCATCTGTTACCCATCATTAGGCTATTGCTGGTTCCTGTCCTACAGGGAAACTCTGAAGTAAGAAATAAAATCTGGTCTCTGCCCTAACGGTTTTTAAATCTCAAAATGAGACCTAAAAAACAACTCTGTTGGTTTCTGAATCATGTCCATGAATGTAAATGCTTTTAAGAAACATTTACTAGTAAAGATTTACCAAGACAGTAGCCAAAGGAAGAACAGTGCCGCGTGTGACATGAGAGGTGTGTGCAAAACGCTGTGTGATGACTGTCCCTCTTACTGCTGGCTCATACAGGCTAGGTACTGAACTCAAAGTACAAGCGTATTATTCGTGAGTCCTCCCAACGACACTCTGAGGAATAAGGATCCCCACTGCAGAGTTCAGGTGACTGAGGCTAAGAGAAGTTAATGAACTTTAAAGCGGCACAGCCAGGATTCAAACTAGGATCTTCCCAACTCAAAGAGGGAAGACTCCCACTATTCTGTAGACAGTTTAGTACTATATGAGTGATAACACTTAATTTCAGGGAAGGAAACAAAAATCCATAATCTCAGAAGCTTTAAATAAGACAAAGAACATAAATAACATGATAGAAAGTTACTGCAGAGATACCAAAATAACATAATGCACTGAATTCTAATGAATGAAAAAATGGCAAAAATGAGTATGGCATTTCTGATGTGACTAGGTAGTTTATTTTTATTTTTTCTTTCCTTCTTTTTAAAAAAAATTTAACAAACTCTGCAGGTGGCATTCAGTTTACTTCTAAAGTGAAATAGGCCAGACACGGTTTGTGCCTGTAATCCCAGTGCGATCCCACTTTGGGAGGCCAGAGAAACCCCATCTCTACAAAAAAGTAAAAACAAGTAGCCTGGCATGGTGGCACACACCTGTAGTCCCAGCTACTCAGGAGGCTGAGGCAAGAGGATCACTTGAGCGTAGGAACTGGAGGCTGCAGTGAGCTATGATCGCACCACTGCACTTGAGCTTGGGTGACAGAGCAAGACTCTGTTTCTAAAAATAATAATAATAAAAGTAAAATAATTGGTTTTATGCTCAGCATTCGGTATAACTAAATAATTAAAACATATTTCCTATATCTCTGTGTTCCTCCAAAGGAAAAGTGAAGCCTGTCCAGTAGGACTTCTGGGGAGATTACACTTCTGTCAAACAACTTAAAAAATATCAGGATTATATTTATTACTGTAGAGAGGAAAAAGTCCCAAAAGCAGTCACGTTTCCAGATTTAGCAAATGAAACAGAAAGAACATCTGTTTCACAATAGTTTGGACAAGAAAAGACTTCAGTTGTAATGTACCAGAGGTTTTATCAAAATCTTTCCCCATCTGGTCTCTGAATTCATTTGGGCACGTACAAGAATTATCAAACTGGCTATCGTCACTGGACCTGGTGAAGCCAATCTTTTAATATTTACTACGTAATTAAGGTAAAAATATGAGAACAGGAATGTAAAATCAAATACAGAATAAATTGAAATAAGTTCCCTTGTACTATACAAACAAACTATCCTTTCCTTTTCTCTGGCATGGGCCATGTGACCAGGAAGACAGTATAGCACACTCCCCACTATTCAAAGCCTCCGAGTTTACGACACAGGTCAGAAAGAATGGCACTTACCATGTGCAAAAGGTTTGTCTTCCCTGTGCCAAGTGAAGTCCTAGGATAGTGATTTTGGAGGGACAAAAGGAGAAAATGGGAAAGCCTTCACAGATCTAAATGATTTATATAAGTGTAAAATGGAGAATCTTGAATGCTTTTTTATAAAAATGACAGATAACTTTAAAGGCTCACCACTCCCACCAGGAATGACTACTTTGCAGAATCAGATTCAGGTTTAAAACCGCTTGAAGAAACCCTACTGTCTGGAAGACTGAAACTGCCAAAAGTCAGATTCAGTAGCATTTATTCATTTGATATTTGCACCATAACAATTTACTGAACACCAACTGTGTGCAGAGTACTATACTAGACCCTGAGTGTAACAAGCAGTGGAAGAGACAAACCCTATCTCTATGCAGGGTTTATACTGATGCTCACTGGTATTCAAAAGTGGCTCAACAAAGCAGATGCCAGATGGTGTCCAATACGTATCAGGTAGCTTGATTGCATTATTGTAATGCCAAGAAGCCCTACAGGCAACATGTGAAGGTAACAACAAAACTTGCAGAGAAAGAACATTATATAAATCTAAGAATTCTCACATCTTTTTTTAGGCCCAAACACCAGTGCTTCCTATCTTTGGGGCAGAGCTTAAACATCTAATAGTAGGCACCAGAAGCAATGTAATATATCATTCATGAAAATAAAGACTGCTTTGTAGGGGGATGAAGCAGTAGGAGATGGTGTTAAATGAGGTTTGAAAGCAAAACAGTGAAGAAGCATTATAATTGCCTATATCAGATGCCAGTCTCTTCAAAAGGCAAGAGGCAAGGCCTTTATTCAGGATAGCAAAAGCAAACCTGATTGAACTAGGTACAATGTCTAATGTCTCTTACTCTGAACAGGTTTTATTGCCATACTCCAATAAACTCTTCATCCATTCACTAAAATATATTTTCACTTTCAAAAACCTTCTTTTACAAAAAGGCAAAGCAAAACCAAAGCCCAAGCATCAGGCTGTGATAGAGATGATTTAAGCTTTACATTTCACTTTTAGAGATGATGTAACCACAGCACGCACATTCACAGTGGCTGAGCCCATTTTGATACAGTCTAGTCTAACCACCTTTCCTGGCCCTCTTTCTGCTATCTTGCAGGTTTACATGGTTTCAGTGACTCCATGTCACCTCTACCATTTCTTTTCTAACTATTATTTGCTAAATAATCCTAAACCAGGTCTACTTTTTCTAGATAGGGCATAAAAGTAAAAACACCACGGATGGGCATTCACTGTATTGTGCCAGGGCCCGCATTTGGTGAAAGACACTAAGGACACCAAGATAAACCAAGTCTGTCCCTCCTGGAGTTTGCTTGCAAATCTAGCAGGGAAGACAGTAAACAAACAACTGCAAAAGATATGACACATCTCTCTTAGGGAATGCTGGCTGCAGAAAGAACACAGCATAGGAAGATTGAACCTTGAACTGTTTTAATGAAAACAGAAGTTTAAGTAGCAGCTCTTCTCATCAAATGTGACGGCGGGAGAAAGGGAATGCAGAGGTGCTGCAGACACTAGCTACGAAGGTCAGCATTGCTGTGCAGGAAGTGAATCAGTGCTAAAGATAGGGAGGGGTGGGGGCACTCAGGACCCAACACGTGCTGGGGTTTGTTAGCCGTATTAAGTGCTGGGTTTAACCTAAGGGCAAAGGACGAGCTTTCTAGACTCTCATTTCATAAAGATCCCTCTGTGCTGTAAAAAGTGGACTACAAAGGAGCAGGCGGGTCTGGAAGTGGAGAGATCTGGGAAGAGGCTGCTGTGGAGATGGAGAGACGTGGACAGATCTGGCAGACCTTTACAAGGTCGACAAGGCTTGGTGACTAAGCGGGAAAAGAAGTGGGTGGGCGAGAGGGGGCTGAGAAGGATGTTTTCCGGTTTCCTGCTTGGGTGCCACTTACTGAGAATGGGGGAAAGAGGCAGGTGCAGGGCGCACCCACCGAAAACAACAGCGCCGAGCGTGAGCAGGGCTCGCTCACTCCTCACGGCCTGGGATTTCAAGGCGACGCCAATCAGCTGTGGCCGCGGACACACAGCCACAGGGATGAGCTGTGAGCACTCACGAAACTCTGCAGGGCTGAAAAGGAATTGGATTTTAAACCCTGCAACTAGCTCTCTGGAAGAGCTAAACCACACAGTCAACCCGGGATAGTCCGGGCCCCAGGCACGGAAGGCAGCAGAGACGGAAGCCTCGCCCAAAATTGGAAGGATCAGCCCCGAGGGCGAGTCCCTCACAGTCAGCACCCGGCCGCCCCAGCCCTCGCCGCACCGCTTCCCGGGGCCACTCCTCCGCCGGCGGCAGCGCCGTCCGTTTTCCAGCTTGCCGCTGCCAGGCCCGGCCGCCAGGTCTCCGGCCCTCGGAGCTCGGTGCCCCGTGCCCGACCTCCCGGCCCCGGCCTCGGTTCCCCCGGCCCGGCCTCCCGCTGCCTGGCCACCCCGGCCCCAGGCCAGCCTCCCGGCCCCGGGTCAGGTCTCCCCTCCGATGACCTGAGGCCTTTCCTTAGGTACCCCCAGGTCCCTCCCCCTAAATCAAAAGCCTTAACCCGCTGCCTGGCTGCCCCGGCCCCGGCCCAGGCTCCCGCCCCCGGGCCAGGTCTCTCGCTCCGCGGGCTTCACTGCTCGCCGCCGCCCCCGGTGAGGTGGCAAAACAAAGGCTCCGCCGCCCAGGTTCCCGGGCGGGCGCTGGGCCTGGGAGGACGCAGGGAGCGGGGACAGGGCTGACCGCCCGGAGCGAGCGCGGCACTCACCGCACAGCCTCCTCACACCTTCCACCACCGCCTCACAGCAGCAGCCACCCGCTACGATCCGCGTCTGCACGGCTTCGGCGGCCCGCGGCCGGGAGATGTGCTCCAGCGCTAGCCCCGCCCCCGGCCCGCCCCTGTCGGCCCCGCGCCCACCCTCCCCGGGGCCCGTCCCCCAGCTCCCGCCCGCCGGAGAACCAGGCCCGGGGTAGGCCCCGGGAGCCGCCCGCCCGCTGCAGCCCGCCCCGCCCCCGCGCACACGCCCGCGCCCGCGCTCGTCCTCGCGCTTGAGTCCCGCCCCGAGGCCCCGCCCAGACCTCGCCCCCGAGGCCCGGCCCCGCTCCCCCGCCCCGGATTTGAAGGCTGGGTCTTCCTGAGAGTCCGCGGGCTTCCGCTCCCAGCGCGGGATTCTGGAGGTAATTTGAGGAAGACTTGGAAACCGCGCCAGGCCCAACGGGGACCTAGAAGGGAGACAAGGCCAGGCCTGCTGCCCAGTGTGAGCTCTGAGAAGAAGAGGAGCGGGCCGGGACGCCCACCGGTAATTTCCGTCCCCCCTCCGGTGACCTGAGGTCTTTCCTTGGGTTACCCCCAGGTCCCTCTCCCTAAATCAAAAGCCTTAGGCTCCTGTCACCAGGGTGCCAGGCCAGTAAGAAGCAGGTCCACGCATGCTGGACACACAGGCTCAAGCCACTCCGCGCATCAGTCAGTACTGCAAACCGTGCATAGTAGTGTACTTAATCCATATATAAACGTTACAAGTTAAGCATCCCACAGCAAACAAAGTAGCATTTAACATCATGAGGAAAAAAAGAGATAGGACAAAGAGATGAACAACCAATCCAGAGGGAGTGAAGAGAAAAAGAAGCCTATTTGGGCCCGAGAGGTCCTTCTGCAAAGACAGCGTCAATTAAGACTGTTTGGAGCTGCCGAAGGCAGAGTCGTGGGTGAGAACTGACAGCGGAAGAGGGCGCTTGTTTGGGTCCTTACCTGGTTGGATGCGGACTAGTTTTTTATTTGTTTATTAAAGTATAGTATCCTTGTTGGCAAATGCCCTATGAAATATAAAATGGGGTCTTTTCCTAAGATGGAGTTATTAATAGTTACGTGAAGGGCGTGCTATACACTGCCCTACTGGTCCCCTTCCTATTTTGGGTCATAAACTCATTTTAGACCCTGAAGCAAACTGTGAATCGTTTTCGCAGAAGAATTCTCCAACACGTGAGCACGACATTCTGCATCAGATTTCAAAAGGTTCTTGACATTCAGAAGTCAGATCAGGGACCCCATGGAAGAGCCTATTTCTAACACTTGCGCCTATTCGACTATAGGGACTATATTCTGCACAGAAATATACTTAGTTTTATGTATCGTTACCACTTGCTGAGAGTTTATTGCATGCTTTTACATTTTCATAATACATTTGTTTGTTTCATCCTTTCAGCAATCCCTCGGGGTAGGAATTACAATTTAAAGAGGTTAAGGTTTAAAGAGGTTAAGGCCAGGCGCGGTGGCTCATGCCTGTAATCCCAGGACTTTGGGAAGCCGAGGCAGGTGGATCAGGAGGTCAGGAGTTTGAGACCAGCCTGGCCAAGATGATAAAACCCCGTCTCTACTAAAAATACAAAAAATAAAAATGGCTGGGCGCGGTGGCTCAAGCCTGTAATCCCAGCACTTTGGGAGGCCGAGACGGGCGGATCACGAGGTCAGGAGATCGAGACCATCCTGGCTAACACGGTGAAACCCCGTCTCTACTAAAAATACAAAAAACTAGCCGGGCGTAGTGGCGGGCGCCTGTAGTCCCAGCTACTCGGGAGGCTGAGGCAGGAGAATGGCGTAAACCCAGGAGGCGGAGCTTGCAGTGAGCTGAGATCCAGCCACTGCACTCCACCCTGGGCGACAGAGCAAAGACTCCGTCTCAAAAAAATAAATAAATAAATAAATAAATAAATAAATAAATAAATAAAAATAAAAACAATAAAAAAATTAGCCAGGTGCAGTGGTGGGCGCCTGTAATCCCAGTGACTTGGGAGGCTGAGGCAGGAGAATTGCTTGAACCCGGGAGGCAGAGGTTGCAGTGAGTCAAGATTGTGCCACTGCACTCTAGCCTGGGTGACGGAGCAACACTCCATCTCAAAAAAAAAGTGTTAAGTAGTTTGCTCTTGCTGAAAAAAGAGTCACAGGAGTTAAACTCAGATCCCACAAATACGACTTAGGCCTTTCTTTATCCCTCCCAAATTGAGTGAATACAATGTTTGACAGTCTTTTTCTGCCTCAATAAAACTGAGAAATAGGACCCACTCCCAACCCTAACAGTGGCTCTGCAGAGCAGTAATTTGCAAAGCGGGGACTAGTGTGGTTGAACTAGTCCTTATCCCATTGTGATACCCAAACCCCTTCCTGTGCTAAACTTTCTTGCCAAAATGAACAAGCATCAGCAGCAGTTTTCTGAATTCCTGTAAATCATACTAATTTACTTAGTCTACGAACTTTTATTTTTGAGACAGAGTTTCACCCTTGTTGCCCAGGCTGGAGTGCAGTGGTGCAGTCTTGGCTCACTACAACCTTTGCCTCCCAGGTTCACATGATTTTCCTGCCTCAGCCTCCCAAGTAACTGGGGATTACAGGTGCCTACCACTAGGCCCAGCTAATTTTTGTATTTTTAGTAGAGATGGGGTTTCACCATGCTGGCCAGGCTGGTCTTGAACTCCTGACCTCAGGTGATCCACCCACCTCGGCGTCCCAAAGTGCTGGGATTACAGGCGTGAGCCACCGTGCCCAGTCAAACATTTTAATTGTAGCAAAACAGTAGGCTGGAGGCAGTGGCTTCTGACTGAAGCCAGTAATTTTCTCTTTACAGGGGTATCCTAGAGGTGACAGAACTTGATCTGGGCCTGGAAGGGGAAGAATTCGGGAAGGGCAACGTGGGGCATTCCAGGTAAGAGTAATGTGTGCCGGGTTGGGGGAGGTTTCTGGAGTGGCTCAGGAGAAAGGAGAGGTCATTATCAATTCATTTGGTGAGATGGTGGAAGAGTAAGAAATGAAATAGGTAAATGATTTAGGGCCAGATTCTGGAGGGTAGTTTAGACTTCGTGACATTGGTTTACCTGTGTGAGCTGAATGTTGCTATGAATCATTATCCCTGTGAAAAGTGATGAAAATGGTTTTAAGGGTGATTGGTCTGCCTGGCAGAGTTACGCTGTTTGGATGGGAGATCCTGTGGGGAGGATAGAAAGGAGGAACTGGGAAAAAAAAAAAAAAAAGCACAACATATCACTGTGTGTTTTCTTACTCCTTACAAGAGGATTTGGGGAAATTTAAATATGAGTTACTTTTGCTGAAGCGTAGAAAGGCAAAGTGACTGAAGCAGGAGAAAAAAAGAAAATCCAGTCACTTATACTTAATTTCTTAAGGTGTTATTCATCCAGAAAGTGAACTTATATAATAATATTTTTGTAAATGCTTTTTGATCACATACTTTATAATAAATACTTTAACAGTGGGAGAAATAGTACAAATGCATTCCAAGAGGCTAAAAAAGGGATTATATTAAGAAAATACTGTCAAATACCAGGATATTACCAAATCGTAGAACTAAAGTATTGGCAGACAACACAAAATACTGATGAATCTAATCTCAGGGTAGAGGGAGAAGTTGGAGTTGGGGAATAGGAATTGACCAGTGATGAGAGAAAAAGAAAAGAAAAGAAAAAAGGGAGGGAGGAAGGAAGGAAGGAAAGAAGGAAAGGAAGGGAGGGAGGGAGGGAGGGAAGGAGGGAGGAATAAAGATAAAGAAGGAAACTGAGAGAACTAGGCTAGGAAGAACCATGACTAGGCTGGCTTCAGGTCCCCCCAGAAACCAGTAAATATGAAGCATGTGCCCCCTCCTTCAGCTGTTCCTGGGATCCATGCCATCAAGTGTCACAGCTGGGCAAGTCTGGGCATAAACACGGGAAAGCTGGGGCTATTTAGGTCAGCGTCATCTCACCCCTTCCATCCCCGCTGCCTCTTCTCCCACTGTAGTTACTTGAAAAGGACTAACATAGCCTTTTTTCTAGCTCAACCACCTTCGGTTGAAAGATTGGTATCAACCACGCTTAAATAATCAAACATGGTTAAACAAACATTCGGTGCAATGCTAAGAAGTAAGTAATAGAAACTCTCTGAGCCCAATCTTTAATTTTATTTTATTATTTTTTTTTAGTAGAGATGGGGTTTCACCATGTTGGCCAGGCTGGTCTCGAACTCCTGACCTTGTGATCTGCCCGCCTGGGCCTCCCAAAGTGCTGGGATTACAGGCGTGAGCCACCGTGCCCGCCCTGGCAGAGCCCAATCTTTTAATATACAATAAATGTTTTCCTTTGGAACTTGGAAACTATTACCAAAAATAGTTACAGTCCCGGAGTGGAAAGGAGCTTTGATACACAATTATGTAAAAGAAAGACAACACTCTTTCACCACCAGGAATTAAAAGCATTTCTAATATGGTGACATATTCCCCCAGAGGGGAGGGATGAGGAATGTGATAGTCCCAAACCAGAATGCCAGATGCCTTCCTGTTCTCCATTTCCTTGGCTTTTTGTAATTCAACCCTCCTGCTGGGACTAGACCAAGCCCCAATTGTCTTCTGATCTCACCCCAGCTGTTAAAATTTTCAGACTGCGCAGACATGAAGGGGGCATGGTATGTACTGAACTTCTCTTTCTTCTTCTGTTGACGCTCATCGTTTCCCCAGTTCAGTGAGTCTTAAGCTGTTTTTTCATTGTGACTTCATGATGTTCATGTATGGCATACTCCCATGGTCCTAAGGGAGGAGACCACCCCTCATATTGCCTTATGCCCAATTTCTGCCTCCTAAGAAAGAAGAAGTAAAAACTAAAAGGCAGAAATGAAATCCACAGGCAGACAGCCCGGCGCCACGCCCTGGGCCTGGTAGTTAAAGACCGACCCCTGACCTAATTGGTTCTGTTTTCTATAGATTACAGACATTGCATAGAAAAGCACTATGAAAATCCCTGTCCTGTTTTGTTCCGATCTAATTACCTGCGCATGCAGCCCCCAGTCACGTACCCCCTGCTTGCTCAATCGATCACGACCCTCTCACACGCACCCCCTTAGAGTTGTGAGCCCTTAAAAGGGACAGGAATTACTCACTTGGAGAGCTCGGCTCTTAAGACAGGAGTCTTGCTGATGTCCCTGGCCGAATAAACCCCTTCCTTCTCTAACTCGGTGTCTGAGGAGTTTTGTCTGCCGCTCATCCTGCTACAGTCCCACTAAGATTTTTACAAAATCAAACAATTTTTCATGATAAAATTTCAGTGTCACTAAGTACGAACATCCACATAGTCATTTGTAGTCAGTTATCGGTTAGATACTAGCTAAATTCAGATGTGATTACATTCTGTATTTATTTTCGTCACTAATAATCAATGGACTTTGTTAAAAGTTAAATTTCATAATAGAAAGTCAGTTTCTCAATTAGGTTTATCTAAGGGTAGCAGATTTTTAACTGTATGTGAAGCAGATCAAAGTAACTGAATACTCAGAATCTAGCAATAAGGAGCAATATCACTTTGTATTTACAAGTTAAAGAAGTTTTTTTTTTTTTTTTTTTTTTTTTT